GGAAAGGGGAAACACACTTACCTCTGCCTGAGATTCTCAGCTGTAAGCCCCGTTTATGGAGTTAGGTTCCTACATTAAACTTTCTCATGAAAAACTAGAGGGAGAAGGGAAGTGTGGAAGAGAAAGATGCACCCATTATCCCCACTTTCTATAAATAAATATTCAGTGGGCCAGAGAGAAGAGGTGAAGATTGAGATTAACTCTACATCACTCCATCCAGTGGTAGATCTCGGAGCCTCTTAGAGTTGATCCGAGGCTGGGATGGGAGGCTGAGTGCCCGCGTGCATGCATGCAAGCACCCCAGCTCAGCAGGTCAGTCCATCAGGGAGGGAAGGGGCAGGGGCTAGATCGACGCCCCCGTGGTGAGGGACAGTGCCACAGAGGCAGGTTGAGCGGGGCCTCGGCCAGGTGGGCCTTACCTGCTGGGGAGTTGCTCCCCCAAATAATTTTTTCTCCCTTTGCCTTGATCAACGCCCCCCTTCCCTCCCCACAGACTTACCTGCTGGGTTGTGGGGACAGGGGGTGGCAGCACATGGTAGATCTTGGGTTGCTTTTAAATGTCAAAGATGATCTCCTACTTAAAAAGGTAGGAGACCACTGCTTTACAGCCAGTAGTGAGGGGACTCACCAATAATATGAGCAGTCATGTTCAAGTCCCTATCCCAATTATAGTTTACTTATTACAATTTACAATTTACTTTATACAAAGCAGAACAGTTTCAGACTAAAGTGAGGGTATGAACGTGCTACTGCAAAATCATATCACATCGGCCTCTTCATAGTAAATGACTGCATGCATGCCCTTATGCTGTTGTAATGCAAGGGAGCTTATTCCTCAGTCAAAGTTAGATAGGCTAGCCCAGCCCTATCAGCTTTACTGTAGTTATTGCAAGGCAGCTGTTTTGCTGCAAGCTCAGATCTTATCTTGCCTTGTGGTAAATAGTTAGTGTGAAAGGAACTCATCCTAGAATGTCCATTTGCCTGGTATTTAGGACATCTGCTTGCAAAGTGGGCTAAGTTCAAGTTGCTGCTCTAAACCAGGCAGAGCAAGGATTTGAAAACAATTTCCCACCTACCAAGTGAATGTCCTAACCATAAACTTATGCACACTATGGTAGCTGGTTGCATGCATCGAAGAATGAGGAGGAGGGGAGTGCTTTAAGCAATAGACCTAAGATTTAATATATCGAAAAACAATAAGGATGAGTTAAATGTGCTTAAAATGAAAGTAGCTGCCGAATTTTGATAGAAAATGTGTGATGACACGATCCACTACATGACACGATGTGCTACATTGCCATATGGCGCACTACAGTAACGTAGAGATCATATGGGTCTACACGTGACCAGCAGCTACATTGCTGTAGCAGCATTCTCCCTCATTTTAGTGTGCTGCTACGGCAACGTAGCAGCAAAATCTAATGACACACTACATGCACAGCACAGTACTTCTACAAGGAAATACTAAAGCACAGTGACATGTAGATGCACCCAATGTATTTAAAATAGTGAATTAAAAAATCCTTTTTGAAACATCTGTACTCATTTATAGTCCATGAAAGTTTACAACGTACTATTGCCCAAGAAAATTATGACAAGTTTTTGTTTATTTGTTTATTCCGTAAGGCCTTTGACATACAGGTGAGGGTACTGAACCGTATACCTCTGGAACAACCTGAACTGATTCCTTCTCAGAAGCGGTGTGCATCACTGATCTGCGTTCAGTTTGCTGAACATTACCTAAGCGAGAAGGACTACGTGCAAGCTGTTAAGAACTACAAAGAGGCACTATTTTATACTCCAACAGACAGTAAAGTAAACAGCTTCTTAAACCCAAGTCAGACTATTCAACAGTACTTATGTGTGTGTTTAAGTTAGAACAGCGATTCTCAGCTAGGGTGTGGTAGCACCCTGGGATACAAGATTTCTTTAGGGGTGCTGTGGCACCAGGTCTCTATGAAGGAGGTAAGTGTTCACTGCTCCACCAGTCAGGCACCCACCAGTGTCCTGCAGGCAACTGGCTTTGTCCCTAGCTGCTCCTCTCGGGTCTCATGCCCCTGCCTCTTACCAACTCCTGCGCTGACCACCCTCGCACTCCAAGCAGCACACTCTGCTGAGGGCAGATAGATGTAGGGCCATTGAGCCATGCATTTTAGACCAACTTCTTCACTTTCTCCTCACATACTGCTGGAGCAAATCACCAAAACAATAGTCACAGCATTGGGGGCTGTGCTCACCCTACCAGGTACAGACTGCGGGCAAGGAGGGGGCAGACAATGGAAATAGTGGGGTACAGTAGGGTCCTGCCCCTGCTGCCCTTACCTAGCACCAGCCTCGGCACCTCCCATGGCTACTATTACCCCTTCCACCTCCTGCAGGGACCACTGCCTCCTTCAGGAGCCTAATGTCCCACCCTTAATGTCACAGTCTGCCTTGCTAAGCAGCCTCTGGCAGCACAGACCATATGTGCCACCCCCACCATGCTCAGGGATACTCTGCCACCCCATGAGATCCTTTAAGCGTGCCATGGGGTATTCAAAGGTAAGCATTGTAAGAAAGAAATTAGATTTGAAATGGGATGAAACATAATTCAGAAAAGTTATGGAGGAGTGCCATGAGTCTAGAAAGGTTGAGAAACACTGAGGTAGAAGAATAGTTAGCCAGCTGTATTTTTTTTAATTCCAAGATATTTTTTTGAATAGTACAAAAATGAAAGGTCACCATGGATGAATTCTTAAACTTGTATTCCAAGCATTTCAGAACTCCCAGAAAAAATAGAAATATTTTTTTTCCAAGTGTTTTTTTAAATGTATTCATTTTTTAAAATGCATCCATCCAAAAACATGGGGAACATATAGATTCTTAGATGTAGGGTTGGAAGAGACCTTGCAGATCTTCTAGTCCGACCCCCTGCCCTAGGCAGGAGAGAAAACTGGGCTCAAATGACCCCAGCTAGGTAATCGTCAAGCCTCCTCTTAAAGACCCCCAAGGTAGGAGCCAGCACTACTTCCCTTGGAAGTTGGTTCCAGATCCTAGCCGCCCTGACTGTGAAATAGTGTCTTCTAATGTCCAGCCTGAACCTATTCTCTAGCAACTTATGGCCGTTATTCCTTGTTACTCCGGGAGGTGCTCGGGGGAACAAGGTCTCTCCCATGGTCCCCCCTAGTAAGTCCTTCCCCACTGGTCCCCCCTAGTAAGTTTATAGATGGCCTCAGCCTACTCTTGTGAAGGCTGAACAGGTTCAGGTCCCGTAGCCTCTCCTTGTAGGGTCTGCCCTGCTGTCCCCGGATCATGCGAGTGGCCCTCCTCTGGACCCTCTCGATGCTGTCCACATCCCTCCTGAAGTGCAGCACCCAGAACTGGACGCAGTACTCCAACTGTGGCCTGACCAGTGTCGCATAGAGGGGGAGGATCACCTCCTTGGATCTGCTTATGATACATCTGTAGATGCATGACAAGATGCAGTTAGCCCTACTGACCATGTCCTCGCATTGTCGGGCCATGTTCATCTTGGAATCGATAATGACTCCAAGATCTTTCTGCCACTGTGCTTTCGAGAAGAGAGTTCCCCAGCCAATAGGTATGCTGCTGGTTCTTACTGCCCAAGTGCAGCACCCTGCACTTGTCAGTATTGAATCCCATCCTATTTTCATTTGCCCATCCCTGTAACCTGTCCAGGTCCAGCTGTATCCTGTCCCTCCCTTCTGGTGTGCCCACCCCCCCACAAATCTTGGTGTCGTCCACAAATTTAAACAGGTTGCTTTTCACCCCCTCGTCTAAGTCACTAATAAAGACATTGAACAGTGCGGGCCCAAGGACCAAGCCCTGGGGAACCCCACTGCCCACATCCCTCCAGGCTGAATATGACCTGTCCACCACCACTCTCTGATTGCGGCCCCTCAGCCAATTTGTGACCCACCTGACCGTGTAGGCATCAGTGCCACATTCACCTAGCTTTTTAATGAGAATGAGGTGGGAGACAGTGTCAAAGGCCTTCCTGAAGTCCAGAAAGACTACATCCACCACAACACCTGCATCCAATGATTTTGTGACCTGATCATAGAAGGCAGTCAGGTTGGTCTGACAGGACCTGCCCTTAATGAAACCACGCTGGTTGTCCCTGAGCATCATCCTCACTGCTGGCCCTTCACAGATGTGCTCCTTGATAATTTTTTCAAAGAGCTTCCCCAGGATCGAAGTAAGACTAATGAGCCTATAGTTGCCTGGGTCCTCCCTCCTCCCTTTTTTGGACCACATTGCCCCTCTTCCAGTCATCTGGCACCTGGCCAGAGCACCACGAGTGCTCGTAAAGCCATGCCAGGGGCCCTGCAATAACCCCTGCCAATTCCCTCAACACCCTGGGGTGGAGAGTGTCTGGACCTGCTGATTTGGACACGTCCAGCCCCTCCAGAAGTTCTCTAACTCGGTTCTCCCTGACCCTAGGCATGGCGGAGTCTCTCCTGAGTCTGTCCCAAATCTTAGTGGGGGAGTCCCGGTCCCTGCACAAAAAAATGGAGGCAAAGAATTTGTTAAAAAGGTCTGCTTTTTCCTCTGGTGCAACCACCAGATTCCTAGCGTATCCTGCAGGGGCTGCACATTACCCAGTTCCTTCTTCATACTCCCTATGTATTTAAAAAAGGACTTTTTGTTGTCCTTGATGCTAGCCCTAGTTCCATATCTGCCTTAGCTTTCCTAACAGCCCCCCTACAGACCCAGGCGATGGAGGTATACTCCTCTTTGGTGATAGCCCCTCCCTTCCACTAGGTTGCCTCCTTTTTGGCGATCAGGCATTCCCAAATGCCATTGGTGAGCCAGGGGGTCTTTTGAGCACTCTTGCCCCCTTTGATTCTCGTTGGGATCTTTAACCCTTGGGCTCTGAGTATTGTCTCCTTAAGGAACAACCACTCATCTTGGGCACCCAGTTCCCCTACTCTCCAAGACCCCAGTGCCTCTCCTACCAATCTCCTCAACTCATTGAAGTTGGTCCTCTTGAAGTCAAGGGCTGCTGCCTTGCTGCAGGCCTTTGGCACCCTGTGCTGGATGGTGAATTCCAGTAGGCGATGATCACTGTCACCCAGGTGGTCAAGAACCTGGAGTCCCCTCACCAGGTCATCACCTGTGACCAGGACCAGGTCCAGCAGGGCATTTCCCCTGGTGGGACTGTGCACCTCCTGGGTTAAGTGGAGGTCCTGTATCTTAGCAAGGAACCTTCGTGAGCAGTCAGACCTGGCTGACTGCTCCTCCCAGCAGATGTCCGGTAATTTAGATCACCCATGACAACTACATCCCTTGCCTTAAGTGCCTTCGCAAGCTGACCTGAGAATTCATGAACACATATATAAAAGTAATAAGCAGAATCAGCAGAAAGACAATTTCATAGAATAAATGAAACACCAATCCTGATTTCAAGTAAGGAAAAATGATAATTTTTTCTTAGACTGCTGAAACAGTAAAGACTGAGCCCAGAAAACTCCTTTTTATATTTGGTTGGCTGGATTCTCAGGTCTGCTTGGTAATGCAAAGTGGCATTCAAATGACTGCTGACTGCTGCTGAGGAATTCCTTTGGCACAAGCAAAACTTTCATTGAATTCAACAGGATTTTCCCAAATCAGATTCTTACTTTCCTTTTTCATGAAGGCTCCATGGTGAATACAGCTTTAAAACATTATGTATGTTCAGCTTCAGCTGGCTCCACTGAGAGCCAGTAGCAATCAGTATGTTACAAGGCTGAGTTTCTGATGAACATCTGAACCTTCCATTTAAATGAGAGCACTACTACCATAGGTATATTTTTCTGCAATATGTTACTCTGTTTTACAAAATTCAGGTACTATGTAGGGAGACTTTTCTGTAATTGGAAACTAAATCACTTGGGCCTGTTTGTTTTCAAGAGCAATAATTCCATCCTCATCACTGGGTTTACTAAAACTAGACTAGACAAAGCATTGAAGAACCTGCTGTAGGGAATAATTTTCATTGGCAGGAGGATGGAGTAGGTTTCATAGCAGGACAAATTTATCTTCAATGTAACTTCACAGAAGTCAATCAGAATTGCATTGGAGTAATTTTGACTGTATAGACCTTAGCTGGATCTAACCTCTGTGATTAGAATTCTAAATCAACAAGAAAACAAAGATGACTCTTAGTAGCAATTGCAATAATCATTAAAATTATTCATTTCTAATTATTCTTTCTCTCATTCCCAGGTTACATTGCAGTTGGCTCATCTTTATTTGCTATATGGCGACATCGAGTCATGTGAACATCAGTGTGCTCTGCTTCTTCAAGATGACAATAGCAATGAAATTGCAGCAATGGTATAAATGGGTAGTATATAATAGATGACAGTCTGACCATCAGAGAATTGTTTTGACTTTTTTTCAGAACTTTCTAAAGGCTGTTACTCTTATACTGGCATATTATGCTTGCTGCCCAAGCATCTGTGTTGAAACAGAGGGTAAGCTAGGCTGGGATTACTAAAAACATGTTATATGGGAAGGATCCTAGGGAAAAATAGGGGGAAAGAGGAAAATCAAATGTATATATCCCAGAAATGAATTCTGTATAGGGTGCTCCATTTAAGCGCATAGGCTAGGGACTGGTAAAAGGCTGTGCAGTCATCCACTGTATGCACTTACCACAACTCATGGTAAACAATGCTCACTGACTACAGGAACAGCTTGGATAGGGTAACCATATGGGACACAGCTGCAGGCAAAGATGGGGGTGGAGTGGTACAGCTCTGACATTACTGTGCAGGCACCTAAGGAAATCAGTGGCCTGTTAATGACCCATTCGTTCTTTACTTCACAGGTGTTAACAATCATCTCCCCTTTTTAATGGTCATTCCTCTAACCAAGCTAATCGATTTTAGGGCAGTTTTGCTGTCTGCTAGGGCTTCCTATTTCCCAGCTCATGCCACTCAGTCTCCCCGCCCTGCACCCGGGATGCTCATTTTAATTTTCACAGGCCGAAGACTAGCCTCCAATATCCAAGATTGTTCTGGCCAAACTGGTTGACCTATTCATGGGGGCTCATCATCTTGTTTCTCATGAGGGCCTTCAATTGCAGCCTTGAAATTGACAGGCCCATCCTGATCTGTTAATGCCTCTTTAGAATGCTAGGAAGCAGGATAGTTTCATAAAGGATGCCGTTAAAGGCGGTACAAAGTAGACGGTGGGGCTGAAGAATTCCTTTTCAGTTTATGCATTTAACCATCATTTGGTGACATCAAACTACCTATCAGTGTCCTATAACATAAAACTAAGATTGAGCCAGTAGATGGCATGGATGTTTTCCACATGCTAAATTGATATGTTTTTACTTGTTATATTATGTCTTTCAATATGTAACAGTCAAAGAAACCATTTCCCAATTCAGGGCTCTTCAATGTTATTTAAAGAAACAAGCCTACTAAAACAAAACCAGCCACAAGCACACAGAAAAATCTTTTAACCTCTTCTTCCCTTTATCCTTTCTGCTCTTCCCCTTACATATTCATTATCGTATTTCTTTAGCCACACACCTTGATAGCCTGTTCTTTGAATCTCTAGTCCTTCCAATAAGGGCTGCAGTCTAGACATACACCATATTAATAAAATGCAATTTAAGTCAGATGATATAGCATTCAGTGCAGTAGTCATTTTATCTGGAATAGCTAGCAATCTTGACAATTAAATCATCTTATCTGCATTTTATAGTTAACCTATTTAAATGAATGGGGCTATTCATGCTTCTCAACTGCTGTGTCTGTCAGCAGACTGACTGCAGAAGGACAGTTCTGTATAAGTTTACTGTTGGTTCATGTTTTGATGCTCTGGTTACTGTAATCATAATGATGAGAAATATTTAAACTGAAAATTCTCATACCTTTTTGAAAGCTTTAATATCTTTGACAAGGACTTAATTTCATGGCATGTTCCACAGGCACAGAATACATTGGGCCCCCTGAGGAAATATGACAGCATTCAGCCTCAAAACAAGAAGCTACAGTATTCTTATATATATTCAAGTGTCCATCCAAAGGTTCATGTAGATATGACAGTTATTCCAGAATAAAGTAGCAGAATAGCTATTTTGGAATAATTTTACATATGAACACTCTTATTTTGGGATCACTGGGCCCTTTTATGGTTTAGCTTGATTTGTTTCCTAAATTGATTAAGTTAATTTGGAAAAAAAGCCATCTCTGCACCCCTTTATAGCGTGATTCCAGAATAACTCCATGGGTGCATCCACATGAGTATGTACCTGCACTGTGCAGCACCTCAAAGGCTTTTGAGGGACCACAAAACACACCCCACATATGTGATTTGGTTCTCCATGCCGCATATTTGTAGCATGGAGCCAAATTTAGATACTGGGAAATCCTGGTATAAAAAAAAAAGCATGCTAAAAGAAAATGGCAAAGCGCATGTGGCAGCAGCATGTGCCATCCAGAACTAAAGCCTGGCCAGCCAGAGCCACATTTTAGCTGCCAGCCCAGCTCTGCACTCACGGGTCGCTGTCACTGCAGCCCAGGAGCCACCCAGACCTCAGGTAAGGCTGCTGGGGCCAGCCCAGGTGCTGGCCCCAGCCTCCCATATCCCATCTGGGATAATTTGCCCTGTGCCAGAGCACACATGCAAGGGCATTCCCCTGGGGACAACTAACAGCAGCACAAATATGTGCCATTGCTGTTTGTCTCCAAAGAAACACACGTGCATGCTTGTCTGGATGCACCCCCTGTGTATGCAAGGATATTGCAGAGGGTTTTTTATTGCATATTTCAGATTTTTTACATTTAGTTTCCATTCCCCATTATTATTAATATATCTTTTTCTGTTTATCTTGTTTCAAGAAAAGTAGAATAATTTCACATTCCTGGTTATTGCAAGGAATTTAACTCATTACAACTTTTCATTCAACACTTTTGTTCTTTGTTAGATGATGGCAGATCTTATGTTTAGAAAACAAAAGTATGAGCAAGCTATATACCTTTACCAGAAGGTTCTGGATAAAGCACCAGGTATCTACTATTAAACCAAATACTTTCTCTGGAGTTTCCCACTTTAAAAGGATAACTAAGGAAATTATGTGATATACTTATTTTCTAATTTCATCTACGATGCTTCCAAGTACCATCATCTATAGTATGAAGATTTTTTGTGATGCCATGACACTTAAAGGGAAAAGATGAATAAGTCTGAAACTTTATTATAGGGACTATGGTTTAGCACAGGGGTGTCCATATCCTAAGTGGCTGGAAGCACACGCCTTTTGGTCCACACTAGTGGGGATTACTTGCCATGCAAGTCACATCAGCTCGAGCCATTGGGTCCCCTTGATTGCATGCTTCCTGGGTTTTCCCCTCTCCCTCCACAACAGCACAGCACATGTGGGCACCTCCCTACTTTCCCTGCACTGTGCAAGCAGATGCCTTGCCACACTGTACTACACATGCTAGTGCCCTACCTCACTCTCAGCTCACCAGCCACAGGGTCCTCTACTGCATCATGTCACAGCTGCCCCAGCACTGCAGGCTGTGCCCTGCTGCCCCACCCTTTGGGGCAGGGGCAAGAAGTGGAAGCTAAAGGAGGGAAGAGTTGCCTGGAGACCCCAGCTTTTGCTGCAGCTGGAGTGATGGAGAGAGACAGAGTGATGGAGAGAGCAGTGGCTGGGGGGGAGCCTGGGGGCCATGACTTAACTCCTTGCATGCTGCCAGTTGGACAGCCCTGCTTTAGCACTTTTAAAGGTGTTAAAAAGTTGGTGAATTCAAGGTTCCTTTGTTTCATCATTGGGAGGCTTAGCCTCTTCCCAGCTTTAAATTCTTCAAGCAGCATTACCATATGTTGATAACTATCAACAGCAAAACACTTTAAATAAAAGTTTTACCTTAAAAAAGATTGATACAATCTGCATTAGTTAAATATGAAGATAAGGTTTACTTTGTTGTGTTGTGTAATTTGTAGATAACTTCTCAGTCATGGAAAGATTAATTGATTTACTAAGAAGAAGTGGTAAGCTTGATAAAGCTACATTCTTCTTTGAAATGGCAAGGAAACATTCAACTCGAATACCTTTAGAGCCTGGTTATAACTACTGCAAAGGACTTTACTGCTGGTAAATTGTACAAAGTAATACTTGTAAATATTATGAATACTCTGACAAGCAGGGTTGTATCATTCCACCTTTACCTATTTTTCCACTTCCAGGGTTCAGTTGATGAACTGAACCAAGCATTTTGGTTTGTGAGAACTATTCTTTGCAGATAGGTTTGCTTGGAAATTGAATTCAGTACAAATTTAAGCAAATAGGTTTTGTGTGGAAATAGGAGGTGTGTTAGAGCATAGAGCGAAAAAGGCCAAATGAATACAGTACAGTCATAGGTAGCATAAAAGAACAGAGTACAATAGAAGACATTTGGTTGACCTGTATGTCAACTTCAGAAGGTTTATTACAAGAGACTTGAGGTTGTATACAGCTCCAACAACAAGGAGTGAAAGTTTGGCCCCTTTCAAGTCACTGGCAAAACTCTCATTGATTTCAATAGGGTCAGGTTATTGCCAGAGGTCTTTTGGTTTAATACATTAAATTCTATCAAATAAGGTTTTGCAATGAATAAAATATGGTTCTTTATAAAACACCTTTTTCAATCAGGAAAATCAAGGTAGAAGATTTCCTACTTTAATTAAACCCTAAAGTTTGGTCCTGCTTTAAAACATGACTGTAAAACTGACATTGTGTGCAAACTTCTATACTATATTTCAGTGATTCATACATAAGATTAGGACAAGTAGAAAGATTTTAGATTACAGGCTCCATCTGGGATCTGACAGTCAGGCTGGGGTTCTTTCCTTCTCATGTATAGTAAAAACTCCACAGGCCTAAATTGCTCATATTTGAGCTCTGAAGCCATACAGAGTTCAAATTGCATATTCAGGGCTACTTGTGAAACTTGATGGCCAGCAGTGGGTTGCACAGGTAGACCTGATTGGAACTTAATAAACAGCTTTATCAAGACACACGATACAATACAATGCACAGTTCAGCTTATTTAGTATTGCCTGTAGGGGCTTTAAAGTGCTCAAAGACCAAAAAAAAAGCAACAGAAAACCTTATTCTGTAGATATCTTTACAGGATACTCCTAAATGCGCTAGCTCAGGTTCTAGAAACAATGTAACTGCATTAACTTAGTACTCTGCCAAGATAATTTTTCATGTACATGGAACCATAATATACTTAAGAGAAATATTAGGTTTTATTAATACTTTATGTAAATAAATATGGGAATGCCTTTATCATTAAGATTGACGACAATCTCACACACATGTTATAACTAAACATGATATATTTTACTCAAACAGGCACATGGGACAACCCAATCAAGCACTGAAGTATTTCAACAAAGCTCGAAAGGACAGTGAGTGGGGTCAGAGAGCCATCAGCAGTATGGTTCAGATTTGTCTAAATCCTGATAATGAGATATTAGGAGGAGAAGTGTTTGAAGGCCTTAATGAAGAGAACAGGTAAGAAACCAGACCAGCACTTCTGGAAATGATTAGTAACAGAGAAAAGTCTTGGACTATCAAGTTCATTTCCCAAGAAGTATTTGAGAATAACATTCAAGGTCTGGTCATTTCTGTACAGAGACAGAGGGTTTCAGTTCAGCTGCCCCCTCTTCACTATGTTCACGAGCACAAAATAGAAACTTTTGACATACTTGTTTTCCCTCTAAAAATGTTGCCTTCCATGAGTAGAGAGAGATAGTTAGCCATGTTAGTCTGCAAAGTGGGCTGTCACTTACAAAAACTTATGCTTCCCTGAACCAATTAGTCTCTAAAGTGCTACCTGCCTTGCCCTCTGCCTGTCTTTAAAAATGTTGAGAAGTATTTAGTGGCTGTGAAAACTACTAGACTAAGAAGCCTAAAACGTAATAGCCTGCACTTAGTCACAAAGTAGGTATACAAGTAATGGCAATTTAAGGTGCTTCAGCTCTGTTCTGGATGGGGGCAGTGGTTTTGTGATTTAATAACGTTGAATATGTATACAATCTGCTTCTGTGTATGTACGACTATAAATGCATCCCTGCTCTGGTGTGATTAAAAGTGAAGGATGAGCAGAGCAGTTGCTTTTACCATTCAGCTGTATTTAACACATTTTGAAATATCGGAAGTTTAATGTTATCAGTAACTTAAAAGAGAAGCAAGAAGCTCAGCAACATGGGGTGTGCACAGCTGAGAAACTACTGAAGGAGTTTTATCCTCGATCCCAAGATGATCAAAATCAACTAAAGATGCTACAGAACTGCTGTTTGATGACCACAAAAGACAAAAGTAACGTGGAGAAAGCTCTTAGTGCTTTTATAGAAATGGCCCAAAACGAGGTAAGAAATTCTTCAGTGCATTTTGCATTCTGTTCTTTTGTAGAATGCTAACAGCCCCATGCATGTTTTTTTTTTATCAAGAATATTTTTAAATGCCCTGATTAAATTGTAGTATTTTATCATTTTTCATTAATAAATCCTTAACCATGTGAAGTGCACAATAAGTGTGCATTATTGAGGTTCTGGTTAACTCAAGGAATTTTCATTCCAGTCAAATGGATATTGGGGAACAAGGGCTTCACTCTGCAATTCAAGGGTGTTCCTGTTCCAGCAAAGCTTTTCATTGCTTGCTTAACTGGAAGTATACAAGTACCCTTCCAAATGATTATGTAGGTTTAAAGTTATCCATATGTTTAAATGCTTCACCAAACAGGAGCTAGAGCACTTAGCAGCTTACCTTTGGTGCCTGCCACTTTAAGGGCAGGAGCAGGCAGCCACCAGGTGCCTAATGAGGGCAGCCATTTTTTAACATAGGCCAGAGTGGCAGCAGTCTGTGTTGAGCAGCCAAGGAGGCAGCATCAGGCTGAGCTGCTCCTGGAACACCTTCGGGGTAAGGGTGAGGCTATGGGGACAGAGGAGGCCTCAGTGGTCCTGGACACAATCTAAAACTGTACCCTGCCATGATAGGGAGGCCTGGTGGGACTGCCAGTGGCATGGCAGCCCCACTTAAAATACCAGGACCATGAACCTCCCCTGTGTAAGGCGGATTGAGGCACCTAAACCCAAGCCCCCACCTTTGGGTGGATTACTAAGAGGGAGGAGTGGGGCCAGGCATGGCTGCAACCACCTGAGCCCACAAGGGTGCAAGACCCTGGAGGCCCTGGGGAGGGGGCAGTTGTGGAGTCCTAGAGAAGGGGGCAGTTGAGAGACCCTGAGAGAGCAGGGGAGTTGGTGGGCCCTACCAGAGTAAGATGTGTCTTCACAACCTGAAGGACTGGGTGTAATTCGGGGTTGAGTAGGGCTGAAGGGATGGTTGGAAGGGCAGCCCCAGGGGGTGTGTTGAGTAGGGCTGAAGGATGGCCAGAAGGGCAACACACTTGCCAACCCCCCACAAGATCATGGTGTTGTGTATAAGGAGCCCAGTGAGGGGCTAAGGAGAAGTTGGTCCTCCAGTTGGTGAATTGGCTGGCACTACCCAGGTGAGGGTCACAGGAGAGACTCAAGAGACTGAATGTCACCAACCAAGGCATGATTCAGATAAGCCTGATGACCAGAAGGGTTGCTCCAGGAGACAGCAGGGCAGAGTGGAGGGGTCACAGTATACTGCAGCAAGCAAGAGACCCTGTGAGAGGGGGTGGAGTGCAAGAGGCTCCTGTGAGAGGGGGGCAGTATGAGTGTGTGCGTGGGTGTGTGAGAGACCTGGTGGAGGACTAGGTTTGGTCCAACTTGTGGCCAGGAGTATGATAACATCTTGGATGCTGTCTGCATGGCATGGGCCATGGTGAAGGGGAGGTACAGAGCTGTGGATGGCGCTCCCTGGCATCAGGGCATAGAATGGATAGCCTCCCGTATTTATCATCAGTTTATTGTAATAACAAAATCGTGGCAGGAGAAACTGGGCAGACTGCCCTACATAGAGAGGTGGGCAGGCCGACTTGAGACTCGGCCCCAAGCTTGCCCCCTGTCAAAATTATATACTTAGCTTTATTATAGAGCTTTCATTCAAATACAGTTGACACTATGTGGATGGACTCTTAAGAATAGAGCAGGAGCGTTGGTATGTGTTAAATTGGCATCTCTAATCTTCTCATGGCAAATTAAGTACTGCAGTCAGAAATACTGAGATGCCTATTGATTTTAATAAACCATTGACAGTATTGCTAACCCTTATAAAAGACAATTAAACCCATAATATTTCCAAATCATGGAAAGAGCTTATTCTTCAAACTGGCATTTTTTATTTAATTATTTATTTTTCTAATCTTTACAATATGTATATATTCTTAGAGAGAAAGTGTTCAAGCCATTTTGGCAATGGCCCAAGCCTACATGATCCTTAAGCAGACTCCTAAGGCCAGAACCCAACTAAAACGGTTAGCTAAAGCTAACTGGACTGTGTCAGATGCAGAAGAGTTGGAAAAAAGTTGGATTTTACTGTCTGATATATACTGCAACAGTGGAAAGTATGATCTTACAATGGAGCAACTGAAACGCTGTTTACAATACAACAAGGTGAGAAGAAAAGATGTTTACAAGGAGATCTTGAAAGGTAAAAATGCGTTTTGATTAGTTTGGAGTACAAATGCCAAAGCAATGCTGGGAAATTTGTTTTCATTAAGAGCCGTTGAAAGTTAACCCAAAAAGTAAAAGCTCTAAAGACCAGCTACAGTTTGGAACCTGTATTTCAGTAAAATTGACTAATGGAATAAAATCAATGTGATTGTCATGATGATTAAGATTCTCATCTTATTCAATTTGTGAATTTGACAAAAGGCAAGGATTGTTGTGGGTGACATCTTTCATTGGACCAACTGCATGGTTGAGATAGACTTAGACAATCTTTCAAATATGACCTGAAGAAGAATGCTTCACATTTGAAAGCTTGTCTAAGTCTATCCCAACCATGCAGTTGGGCCAGTGAAAGATATCAGCCACAACAATCCTAGCTTCTCACATAATTCCTGGATCATCACAGCTACAACATCACTCCTACACCACCAAAACATGAATTTTACAGTTAATTTTGGTGGGAGCAGAATTTGACCCTAAATGCAAAAAGTGGTTTGTAATTGAATAGCTAACTAGTTAGTTATGGTTTCAGATTTAAAATCATAAAAATCAGGAAATGTAAAAGTGAAGGTTGTAACAGCAATGTGAGATTAGCCAAGTTGAATATCCTGTGTGTTTTAGTGTACATATTTATGGGCTAGACAGTAAAGCATCAAGCTACACCTTTAAGGAAAAAAATAGGCAAGATCTAGTACTTTTGTATTGTTTTACTGATGTATTTAAATAGAAAATATAATTTAGGATCCTGATTTACAATCTAGAGAATGCTAAAATGATGTAAAAATATATTAATTTGTAATCCATTTTAGTCGTGTTCAAAAGCTTATGAATACATGGGTTTTATTATGGAGAAAGAACAGGCCTATAAGGATGCTGCAGCTAATTACAAATTAGCTTGGAAATATAGTAATCAAGCAAACCCTGCCATTGGTGAGTTGATAGAAATTTATTCTATTTTAAATCCTACTTGAAAATTAGCCAGCATATTCATTCTTAAATCATTGTAAAAGATTATATTAAATATCCTGCAACTTTATTTTACATGGTCTAAAAATGCAAGAAATACTTGGGCTATGGTAATTTCTGTCTTCAGTTATGCTGATGTAATCAACATGACGTTGGTGGGGTTAAAAAAAGGTATAACAAATGACAGGAAGAAGAGTTTTAATGACAGCTAAAAGTTTAATACTGCCAAGAGTTTAATGACAGCTAATAATATTGGAGAAAAAGTGAAAGCTTATTGTTTGGCCAGGTACATGGTACTTTTTATGTATAGGAAGGACTAAATTCAGAAGAGTCCTGTATAGAGATGGGGTACATTTGGACAAGATTTCTTAGTTCCAGTCCCTACTCAGGATTTTTTTTCCAAATAAGTAAAATGTATATACCATCCCAGAACAAGAACTGGAAACAAAATCTTCCCAGAGCTGAGGGAGAACCCATCTCATGGGAAGCCTCTCATCAGAGACCAGCTCCACTATGCTAGGCTGCCCATGCAGCCATTTAAAGTGCCCCTGGAACATGCTGGCACACAGAAACCCTGAGACTGGTCAGCCACTCTCCAAACCCAGGCTCCCTGTATGCCTGCTCCTTTAAAAGTCATGTGTGCATCCCAACTGTATGCATGCCCTTTGAACATGCCGGCACAGAGAGTCCAGGACTTGGCGGCCGCTCCGTGATCCGGGGCTGCCCATGCAGCAGCATATTTAAAGGGCATGCAGGCAGCCCAGCACCAAGGAGCTGTTCCCTGATGTTAGGTTCCCTGAGCACTGGTAGATGCACAATAGGATCTGAGGAGTGTTATCCAAGATCCCCAAAATCATGCATCCTACCATGCCAGACCTTGAACGTCTGCCATAGCACACACTCATTTTGGCATCCAGATAAAATTCTTCAGATCCCATAGCATGATTTAATTTAGCATCTGGCAGGAACCCATGAGACTATGAACTCAGCCTCCCTCTGCCTGCCCTTCTATCCCCATGGTAGTGCTCAGTGGTCCAGTTTCAGTAGAAGGGGTAGGGAATGCCTCCACTCAGACTACTGTATATCTTGGTGGTATGAGCAATCTCTGTGGAGCTGGGAAATATGTTTGAATCCCTTCACTCTGGGGCCTACAGCTCGGTTTCCTGCTTCCTTGACAAATGCTCTATCTACTGGGCTCTTACGTTATAGGTAGGCACCATTTTTTCTGTTTTGAGTGAAAGTGACTGTGGCTGCTAAGCTTCCTACTGAACTCATTGCTGTTTGTGTTTGCTATACATGCTTGGAGCATGCCAAAAGGATGAGCGTCTCCCCTACATTTGGGTAACAACAGAGAGCAGGCAGCGGCTAAACGCCTACTTCCTCAAACTGGAGCACTTCTGTGCGTGTGTAGAAACCTATGTTTAGACACTACATTGTGGCAGTCCAAAATGTAGTCGCTGTGAGTGGGTTTTGTGATGCCTGGAGTGGAATTTTCTGAAACATTTTTTGCAAATTGAAAATTAAATTTCACCCAACCCCTTCTATACCAGTTTGCCAGTCCAGATCTGATCCTGAGAAGTTAGTCACATAGGGGCCATTTTGCAAGCATCTGAGCACAGGAGGATCCCCAATTACTTTTTACAATACATTTAATGCCCGTTTGCATCCCAGGAGAAATAGTTTCATCTTGAAAAATGTCTAACACATCCTGGCAAGCTGAATTATATTAAAGTAACCTCTTTGTATCCATTAGCAATTTTTCTTTTGTGTCCTTGTTTTTTAATAATCAAACACAACACATATATTAATCCAATTAAACATACACAGAAATTTTTTTTTAGCACATCTTCAATTTCATTATCTTTTATTTAATTTTAGTATATCCTATTTTAATTTTAGTTAATTATAGTTTTTTTTGTTTGAAGCACTGTCTAATACAATCTTTCAACTTAAGTGGACATATAGGCTTGTGTTCCAATTACAGCATGTTCATTTCCTTTTTTTTTTCTCCAGGTTTTAAACTTGCTTTCAATTACCTAAAAGATAAGAGATATGTGGAAGCAATAGAAGTTTGTCATGATGTAAGTTCTGTTAATTACATGTCATGATAAAACTGTTAATTACATCATGAAACATAGGGTGAATAAGTTAAGTTATAACTGACAATCTTTTCTTTTTTATTAGGTCTTGAAGGTGTGCCCAAGTTACCCCAAAATTAGAGAAGAGATTTTGGAAAAGGCTCAAAGAGGTCTCAAACCCTAAAAATAGAGTTCTTCTTTAATATAACATTTTCTGACATAGAAATATGTCACTTATACTAGAAATAAAAACATATCTTTAGTAAGGATTATGAATTTTAGACTTTCTAAAGAGAAAAATGGGCCTGATTCTCATTTTTATTTAAGACCCCTTTCTGGCAAGGTGAAGAAGCCTTCCAGTAGGAGTAGACTATGTTTATATCCAAGTGAAAGCTCCTTTATCCTGTTGGGGAGGGATAAAAAGGCTTTCTTGTACATCAGATTCAGGCTCGGCATAATGCTAAGAACAGAGTTTAAAGTTTTGAAGGATTGCTTTAGAACAGAGATGTCAAACTTGTTTCGATCCTAAACAGGGGATTTTCTGCAGGCCAGATCCAGACCTTCAGGCTTCCCATGGGCTGGGCAACCTGTGAGTGGCAATGGCGTTCTTCCCACCATTTCAGCTTGGTTCTAAAACCCAAAGACTAAACACCATTGCTGTTTGCCCTCCCCGTTTTTCCCCTGTCACCTATTTTAGTCACTAAGTGTGACTAAACCCCTGATTTCCGCAATGGCTATTGGGGTGGGAGAAGTGGCAGGCATTAACTCCCTGGTTTCCAGAGCTGCATTGAAACGGTAGTTCCAAGGGCCATGGGGATTAGCGTCGCTGCTTCAGGGGCTTTGGCAGTCATAACAACAAGCCCGTAAGTCAAATCAGACCTGTGAAGGAGGGTAGTCCAGTGCACAAGAAACTAGCTGGATCTAGTCTGCAGGCCATGTGTTCAACACCCCTACTTTAAGCATTCCTGGGGCCTCACAGACCTATTAAATGTAATATTTCAAGTTCTTTTACCAGCAAATATGGGCTATATTTTATAGTTAATAACACTAAACCATCTTTTTTGAAAAAAAATGTATTAATCTATTCACTAAAAATAAATGAGCAAGTACTATACTATGACATTTTGTGGTTTCTGGTTTTGAACTTTTTTTTCAATGCTTCATTAAGTTTATTGTACTTTTTAGTTGTTTGTTGAGGCATTATTTTTAAAAATGTGTAAAGAGGTAAAGAAGGACAGAGCTTTATCATATAGGTCAATGGTTTACAACCTTTTTAACCTCAAAGCACCACACCATGATTTTTCAGAATTTACTGGCACCCTGTTTGAAAATCACTGAGTTGGAATCTAAAATCAGAAGAGTTATGCAGTGGTGCCTTAAGGCTACAAAGGTTTAGGACCACTGATCCAGTATGTGCCAGGTGAGGGCAGGAGGGACAGGACCTCAGCCATCCGTGCCCCAATCTTTTCATCAGATGCCTTCTCCCTGCCCGCTGTCTGTACCTGAGAAGGCAAGGGCAGCCCCCCACCAGAGTTACTCCTCCCGAGTCTTTCATGCTTGTGACCAGAGCCTAGAGCTAGGCAATAGTTACTGCTGTAGAAAATGCTGTGTCCCAGATTCTGTCCATCTCCAGATCAGATGTGCTTTGTATCAGCTTCAGCCAGGAATCTCTATCTACTCAGGACCCAGAGCCCAGAACCTCTTCTGCATGCATCTATATCCATTTTTTCCATAGTAGGTTTCACCCTTTTATTTTCAAGTGATGATAGGGATTGGCACATTCTGCCATTTAGTCAGAGAGGTTATCCAGAAACTGGGAGAGCTGGGTTCATAGAGTCATAGAGAAGTAAGCCTGGAAGGGACCTCCAGAGCTCATGTACTCCAAACCCCTGCCTGAGGGCTTCAAATTTACATCAACCATTTTTCAAGAGAGTACGTAATCATCAGGCTGTAGGCTGTATGGCTGCAGGGGAGGCAGTTTCCCCTGTGCGATTAAAGCTGTGCCATTGCACAGCAAAGAATGCAAGTTTTATCAGGCTAGAGCAGGGATTAGCAGCCTCTGCTCCATGGGCCAGATCCAGCCTGTAAATTCTTTGGATCCAGCCTGCACAGCTGTGGCTTCAGCAACATTTAATGGAGGGGGAGCTCCTCCTGCACCATGACACAGTCAGATGCCTGGGGTCTTAGTGATGGACAAGTTCTCTCTGGGCCAAACCACATCTAGGCATCAGGGAGAAGTAGTGAAGGTGTCCAGGTCCTAATGCCTGCCCATGTCAGACCTAAGCTGGGTCATTCCATCCCTCTAGTGGAAAGTGTGGGCTAGAGAGAAAGAGAACTTGAAGGAGCCTGACCCTAATGCAAGAGCAGGCAAAATTCTATACGGCCCACAAGGCCCCTCCAAAAAACAATTATTACTGGCCTATGGCTGCCCCTCTGAAAGCTGGTGGGGGGCAGGCTTTCGGAGGCTGTGCACCATCAGACTGGGAAGTCTCCATGCTTCTACTTCCATGGGGCTCCCAGCACTCCAGCTGGGAATCCCATGTGCAGGCACTGGGCATGATGGCACACAAGTGGATAGCTGGTGAGTGGGAAGGGGAGCTCTTGCCTGCAGGGGGAAGATGGTGCTATGTTTGTGGGTGGGCATGGGGGTGTATGTGGGTGGGTATGGCCCCCCCCCCAGCACCCCACCAAGTTGCACAGCCCCCACCAGCAACAGTATGTGGCTGGCCCGTGGGGCACTCATGTCCATGGCAGGCAGAGCTCCCTAGCGGTGTGCAGGTGCAGTTCCAGCCAAGTCCCGGGAGCTATTTTAATCACTAAAATAGGAGCTAAATAGGAGGCAATATTTTACAGTTAGGGTGGCCAGAATCTGGAACCAACTTCCTAGGGAAGTGGTCCTCACCCCTACCTTGGGTAAATTCAAAAAGAGGTTAGATGATCACCTGTCTGGGGTCTTGTGAACCCAGCATTCCTTCCTGCCTGTGGCAGGGGGTCAGGCTAGATGATCTGTTCAGGTCCCTCCTGACCCTAGCTACTACGAAACTATGAAACTATGAGCTGCATGTGGCGGTATGGAGCCAGCCTGGCCCAGCCCAGCCCACTGCCGCATGCCTTCAACCCAGACTGGGCTGGCTCCATGCCAGCACGTGGGAATCAGCACTCCAGGTGGGAGCTGCACATCATCAGGCCAGGCCAGCCCCATGCCTCCACATGGGGCTTCCAGCACTCCAACCAGGAGCCGCAGGGAGTTGTGCATCATCAGGCCGGGCGGGCTCTCTGCCACCATGTGCAGCTCCCTGCTAGAGTACTGGAAGCCCCATGTAGAGGCACAAAGCTGGCTGGGCCTGGCCTGATGCCATGCAACTCCCACCAGCAGTCCTGCAAGCCCCACATGCTAGCATGGAACCAACCCAGCCTGGTCTGAAGGTGCATGTCAGTGGGCTGGGCCAGGCTGGATCCGTGCCTCCATGTGCAGCTCCTGGGACTCAGCTGGAGCCATGCAGTGCTAGGGAGCTCTGCCTGCCATGGCCATGAGTGCCCCAAGAGCCTTCTGCCTCCTGCTGCTGTTGCCACCATTGGCGGGGGATGTGTGCAGGAGGGTGCGTGTGGCAGGGGGGCTGCTGCCATCAGTGGCAGGGGCTGTGCACAAGAGGGGGCATGTGGCAAGAGGGCCCACACCTACCCCCCCACACAAATCCCACACACTTCCACACCCACACCACCCAACACCCACCCATATATCCCACACCCTCCCACATCCCTTCACAAACCCCCCACAGCCACCCATGCACCCCCACACCTTGACAACCCCCCACACACATCTTACACCCACTCCCAACCATACCCCATACCCCCCCTCATACATACAATATACAAGAATAAGACTTTATTTTGAGGCTTTATGCAACCACCTCTATATACACCATGCAAACACAGATAAATCAGTACAAAAAAATTTTTTTAAAGCATGTTATAGTTAATGTTTGATTTCTAGCATATAATTAGTTTTTTTTTTCCTGTTCCAAGATGTCAACACCCCCTCCCAAAAGGAGTACTTCCAGGGGCAAGAGGAAGGGCTTCCCGTGACAACCATCAGAAGTAAGGGGGTGGGACTTCTGGTCCCAAGATGGCAATCAGGGGGTGGGGCACCTGTCATGGGGTGGGGCTACCCTTGCGGCCCTCGACAGCTCACCAAAAAGTCTTTAAGCGGTCCTCCAGGTGAAATAATTGCCTGCCCCTGCTCTAATGGTTAGGACTTTAAGCTGGAGAGGTCCCTGTCCAAGAAGCCATCTCCCTGTCTGACTGAGGAGTGTACTGAACCTGTTCCCAAATGATTGCCTCCAACCCTATTCTATTATATTCTATTATTTTTAGGGACCTACCAAATTCATGATTTCGCAGATTCTGCAAAATCCAGTATTGTCCATGAAATCCAAACAATGCCTGCAAAATCCATGGGGGAAAAAAACTTCCAGGAAAGAAACTGCTCTCTCCTTAGAGGGAGCCAGCAGCAGTCCAGCAGGATGGAAAACAGGGTGGGGGGAAGGGTTGCTGTCTAGAAGAGCTACAGGCAAGCTACACCCCTGTCTCTCACTGATGGTTGGCTGTAGGGACCACCTGTCATGTGGCTCCATCCTTCTCCACCAATCAGCAGTGAGGGGTGGGGCTGCATAATGGACAGTCCTTGCAGCCAATCAGTGGTGAGGGGTGGGGCCACATGACAGGCAGCCCCTGCAGCCAGTCATCAGTGAGGGGCAGGTCTACCAGGGCCCCTTGGCCAATCAGAGGCATGGGGGACCATTGTGTCCTGCTTATGAAATGGTTGCCTGCACCTGTGATCTCCCCACAAAATCGGGGGGGCAGCCCCCTCCAATTAAGTAGATCCCTAATTATGTAGATCCCCCTGGTCTGGTGAAATACCGAAGCAAAGTGGGCATTCAGGAGTTCAGTTTTTTCCTGACCGTCGGTTTCCAGCTGTCTCGAGGTGTTAAGTCCCACACTTCCATTTGTTTTCCTTCTACTGCCTGCATACCGAAAGAAGGACTTCTTGCTGTCCTTGGCTCCCATGGCTAACCCAAACTCAGTCACCGCCTTGGCTTTCCTGATCATTTTCCTACAAGTGCTGGCCACTATTGTATAGTTCTCCTTGGGGACCATCCCTAGCTTCCACTGTGCGTATACCACTTCTTTCTTTTTTAAGAGGATCGCAATGTCCCTATTAAGCCAGGAGGGCTTGCCAGCCCTTCTGCTACCTTTCCTCTTTCCAAGAACAGTTTTCTTTTGTGCTTCGAGGATCATATCTTTGAGCAATGACCTCTCTTCGTGCACTCCATTCGCCTTCCCTTCCTTGTCCCACATTGCCTCCCCTACTAATGTCCTGAGCCTGTCAAAGTCAGCATTTTTGAAGTCCAGGATTTCAATCCTGTTGGTTGATTTGTCAACCTTACGGCGGATGGTGAACCTGATAATTTCATGGTCAGAATTTATGCCAACCCCTCACATGGAGCAGCTTCCTAGACCCAGCAGTCCCCACCCTGTTTTCATTCAGATACCTTCTAAGGACTTTCCTTTCACGAGGTTTGCAGTCACCGCACAGAATAGAAATCAGACAGACCCTCCCGATCTGCACTTTAAAACAGTGACTAAAGCAGCGGATTGCCGAAAACAGCTGTAGTTCATCATCCTCAATGTAATTTATTTCTCCTTTGGGCATTTACAACATAACCCTACATCAAAACCATTCAGCTGCAAAATGAGTATGATACCATGTGTATCACTGCAGAGTACAGATTATGAACAAACAATTAATCAAGCTAAGTGGCAAGATGTTTAAATGAGAATAAATAGACAACAGTGTCTTTCAATAAAATTGTACATAGGGAACAAGTAACAGCCTTTGGAATAACAAATAAACCATAGAAAGCATGGAGGCTTGCCAGGGCTAGCAGAAAAGATGAATTCAGTGAAAGTCAGTAAAGAGATTGTTTTGGGTAGAAGGCCATTCTCTGGTTGAGGAAGAAAGAAGCTAAAAATTAATCATCATGTGCAGGGGGTGGGGATCCTTTCTTCTCAACATCAGTCACATCCACTGAAAAATCACATCAA